GATCTTGTGGATTTGACAGCAGAAGGAAAACATTCTGAGAGAAGAATTTCTTCTTTGCTGCTTAGAAGACATTGTTTAAGTCTATTTTTTAAACTATATGTGAATATTTTTTAAATGCTTGTTCCTTACCTATATTCAGAGTGATACCAATTTTCATTTGGGACTAAGTTTTTGCTGTCTTTGACTCCCTTGATCTATGCAGAATCAAACTCAGCTGAACTCTGATAAAAAGGTCTTTACTCCTTATTTATCCTATTATGTGTGAACGGCTAGAAGAACTGGTCACAAACGAAGGAAATTCATACAAGCAAAATGGAGGCATCCAAGCGTAATACTTCATATTTACTATAATACAACAAAAGCACTGAAAAGTCGTACTCTACTACAGCCACATCCCCATATTTGGTTACCTTTTTCTAAAGCCTTTTATACATAGAATCACAGAACAGCCCACGTTGGAAGGGTCCTCCATAGATCATCTTGTCCAACCTTTTGTGGGGAAGGAAGCCTAATTGAGATTACCTAGCACCCTTTCCAATTGCATCATGAAAACTTACGGTGATGGGGACTCTGCCACATCTTTGGAGAGGTTGTTCCAGTGATGGATTGTTCTCACTGTAAACCATTTCTTTCTTCTATCAAGGTGAAACCTTTCCCAGTGCAACATGTACCCATTGCCCCTGGTCTTCCCCATGTAGCTCCTTGTGAAGAGAGAGCCTCCGTTCTCTTTGTAGCTGCCCTTTCCAATACAGACACTACCCTTTCCTATACAAACAATAATGGTCAAACAACTGCCTGATGGGCTGGACCAACCTCCATTCCCAAAGGAAAAAAAATTATAGCAAAGGCAGAAGGTAAAACTGGTTGCGGTGGTTGGTGAGGTTCAGCTAGAGAATACATGGGTACAGTGGAGACCCAGACTGCTGTCTGGAGGGTCCGTGGCAAGCTGAAGGAATGGGCTGACAGAAGTCTCATGAAAATCAAAGGCAGCACCATGCAACAGTCCAGGCCAAGGACTGCCTAGGCAGCAGCTCTGCAGAAAAGGATCTGGAGTTCCTGGTTGAGAAGTTGAAGATGAGTCAGTAATGTGCCTCTGCAGCAATGAAGAAGGTTAAATGCAGGCCGGGGTGTAGTAGGTACAGCATATCCAGCAGGTCAGCGAAAGTGGTTTCTCCTCTTGTGAGGCCACATCAGGAGTACTGTGTTCAGTGTGGTGCCCAACACAAGAAACACATCAACAATCTGAAGCCCAGTAAAGAACCACTAAGATGGTTAGGAGGCTGAAGAATATAACATAGGAAAAGAGTCTGAGGCAAATTGGTATCCCTTGCCCTGCCATCCTTGAAGATTTTTGCAACTCACCTGGCTAAGGCCCCAAACAATCTGATCTATGAAGTTAACTCTGCTTTAAATTGCTGGATTAGAGATGACCTCCAGAGTTTCCTTCTGACCTAATTCACTCTATGATGTATGATAAAAGGAAGCTAGATTGCTCCATTTTAGCAGCCATCTGCACTTCGACCCAATAGAAGTAACAATGGAAATGCCCCTAAATTACAAGCCTAGTCTTCCTAAGTTCCTACACAACCAAGAGTTTCTGGTACCTCTAGAAGTTGACTGCAAGTGCCTAAGATAAGCTAGCTCTGACTGCTAGCAAAAGGAGCCCATCTCTTTCCAGTGACTACACAGAAGGACCAGGGAGAAAAGGTCTTCAAGTTGCATGCCCAAGTTAGATGCTTAAGGTGACAAAGTAGGGAAACCTCCTAAGGGTTCAGCCAGTAAAGCCTAATACTATATACATAATGGACACAAGGTGAAACGCAGCTGGCTTATGAGGCTGGCGGACAGGTTCGTAGCAACACTGGTGGTGGAGGCAACCTGAGAGTCATCCCAGAGCACTGAAGGAGCTAGCAGATACTATGGTAGGACCCCTTTCAATCATCTACTAAAGGTCTTGGGAGTCTGAGGAGGCCCCTGCTGACCAAAAGCTAGCCAATGTTATTCTAATCTACAAAAAGGGTGTGAGGGAAGATGAGAGAACTACAGACCCATTGGTCTAACCTGAGTTGCTGGAAAAATTACAGAGAAGGTTATACTGAGTACTGTTGAAAGACATTTAAAGAATAATGCAATCAGGCACAGTCAACATGGATTCACACAGGGCAAGTCATTTTTAACTAATTTGATCTCCTATGATAAGGTCACCCGCTGAGTGGACGAAGGGAAGGTGGTGGGAGTAGTTTTTCTGGATTTTAGTAAGGCTAAGTTATCCCGTTGTATTCAGCATTGCTGCAGCCTCACCGTGAGCACTGTGTGCAGTCTGGGCCCCACAAGTTAGAATGATGTGAGGGTCCCTGAATGCATACAGAGGAGCCTGCTGAAGGGGCTGCTAGGAATGTCCTATAAGGAGCCACTGAAGACCTCATAGGCTTGTCTAGTTTGGAGAAAAGGAGGCTGAGGGGCCACCTCATTGCTCTCTACAGGTTCCTGAGGAGGGGAAGCAGAGAGGGAGATGCTGATCTCTTCTCTCTGGTATCCAGTGATAGGAATGGTGGGAATGGTTCAAAGCTGCACCAGGGGAGGATTAGACCGGACATTGGGAAGCATTTCTTTACCGAGAGGGTGGTCAAACACTGAAATAGGTATCCTAGAGAGGTGGTCGAAGCCCCAAACCTGTCAGTGTTTAAGAGGCATTTAGACAATGCCCTTAACAATATGCTTTAACTTCTGGTCAGGACTAGACTGTCACACTAGATGATCGTTGTAGATCCCTTTCAACTGAAATAGTCTGTTCTGTCTCACCCACCTTTCTATTTACAAATGAATGATTTTCATAGCAAGGCACATCCAGGATGAGCAATGAATCTCACCCAGGCTTTTCAAAACCAGGTTTGAGACCAGAAACTTTGACTCTGAAATGTCTGGGTTTTGGCACATTGCTTATTAGTCTGCAGCAAATCATAAGGTTCAAAGGAAAGAAATACTCCGAAGCTTGGGCTCATCCCCTCAGGCTTCATGCAAGACCTGCTAAAGAACTTATTAGCGTCCTTCACAGTGCTGGAAATAACTTTTCATTCTCTCATTTAGGACATGACAGATAAGATCTACTAGAACCTGAAACTGTCACCAACCTACCCAAAATGAGGAAAATGTTGGGAGAGTATGTAACTTATATACAAATTCATGAAAGTCTAAATTTCTTTAAGAAGTTGCTAAGGGAAAAGCAGGCAGTGAAGGTGATAGCAAACACTGAGAACTGATCTGAAAGACAAAAGGCACAACTATGCTGGCAGACACTAATTTTCCTTGGTAAATCAGCTGAAGGGACACAATTCTGACACTGTTATGATGCAATGTCTAATAAAAACTACTAAGTGCTGCTTACTATCTTGTTTTCACAACATTTTCCTTCTTTTCTGTATCAATGACAAAAATTTCAGTACAAGAATACTATTAAAATTACACTCACTTCCAAAAGCTATCAAACTAGCCTTCACAAGTTGTACACGCACTCAGAATACCCCTAATCAGAGCACACACCACACTCTTAATCATTCCCAAGACATCCTCCAGAACAAAACATTACAGAGTCCTATATAGAAGTCTCCAGTGGCCATCCTAAAAATTTGGCTCTTGAGGTCTTCAAGTAAAGATTATTATCCCTGCCATATTGGTCTATCTGTACCAACAGCTTGGAAAGCACATAACCAATATTTTAATTTGTCTAATTTACTAACTAACAGAAGAAACATTAAAGCACAATTGTAACCAGTAAAATAGGTGAGAAAAGAATAAATGAGCAAGCAAGATCCCAAGGTCAATTTTCACCAAGAAATTATTAGTTCAGTTGAAAGAAATGAAACGTACTCAAAGGGGAGAAAAAATATCAGAAGTGAACAGTAATAATTGTAAGTATCATTTGAAGTGGCAAAGATTAAGTTAAACTTCATCTATGTTATCAGCTGTAGAAACATGCAAAATAGTTCTAAACAATTTAAACTCAATGAGCAGGAGCTACTCACAGCATCTTAGAGCTCACTGTGGACAAACTTACCCCCCTTACCCCCTCTCAGCCTAAACTAAGTTCTGTGATGCCATGCATGACTATGTTCTTAAGCTAGATCATTCAAAGCCAGCTCAGGTACTTCTGTAATACACTGTCAACTCTGGTTAAACATTAGAGGCCATGCCTATTGAACTAATATTATACAAGCTTTTCACAAGACAGCTCTTCAAGAGTTTGAAGACTCCCATATTTCCTGTGACGGGACATGTTCACATACCAGACTGCACATCCTGTATAGTTTTTCATAACCACGAGTTGATATATTCTTTACTTAACAGAGCCCCAAGATAATCTCTTCACAACTGTATTTGATCTGCCAACTTGCATTCAGATCAAATAAAACAACAGATCTAAAAGCTCACTTGAAAAAGCATCTATGAAGGAACTGATTATGTTAAATACAGCTGTCTTACAAAAACTCTGAGTAACACTATATTCATCATGTATATGCCAGCACTTGAATATTGCAGGAATATAGAGGGCTTAGTCATATGAATAATTCTTTAGAATTCATTAAAAATACAATAAGGTTCCAAAAGTTTGTTTCCACTTAAGCTACCCCAACATAATGCCATAAAGTGTACTAAAATATTTAAGAATATACATTTGTGGGTTTGATTTCTTTCTAAAATACTTATTGAGATATTTCTTTATGCTTCTAAACAATAAAACATTTAACAAATAAAACTATAAAAAATAGGCTTTTCTTAAAAGAAATTTTTGGTGTTTAACGGGAATTAGGGACAGCAACCCTTCTGGCTCTTCTAACAATAAATACCTGCTAAAGCAGATTTTTAAAAAATATTTTCTGTTGATATAAACATAATAAATTCAAACCACATTAAGCTGCAATTTTTAGTTTTGCTATACTTCACTGAAATGTATGAAGAAAATATATACCATTTAAAATTAAAGGGGCAAACAGAATGCTTACTTTCTCTAAATGCTTTACAGTAGCCAAGGAACGACAACAAAAAGAACAGGGCACACAGTAGATCAGCTCTGCCAACAATCCCGGCAACCTTAAAGAAAAAAAAAAAAAAGAGAAAAAAAAGAAAAGAGTTTCAGATTAACAGGCTTTATTCTTAAAAAAATCTTAGATAAAGGTACAGACACATATACGAAACAAAAGGATGTATAAAAGAATATTGCTGTATCATTATTTTTTTTAACCTGTTTACTGGATTAGTGGTACCCAGCTTTCTAAGCTGCATCCTAATTTTGATTTGGTTTTGCTTAATATGAGCTAGTTGAACAATTTGGCTTTAACTTACGAAAAACCACTGTTTAAAGAAATGCAGAAGGACCTCGCTGAAGAAAATTTAGACTCTGCCCCAATTCCATCTGTTTTTTGAATCAGGCTGCCTTTCAGTAAAACTCTTAGCAAACATCCTGAACCCCAACAAAATTGGCAGCTCTGCTCAAGACTGTCCCCTTCCAGAAGACAAGCCAGCTTTCAAATTGCAGTTTGAACACTCAAGAGTAGAGAAATAGCTTCCAGCCTACAGAATCAAAAAAATAAAAATAAAAATCCCCCTCCGGCAGTTTTTTATGTTATACTAGTTGATTGCATTAGAGCTACTTCCAACTGTACCTTGTAACAGAAGCTGTACTAATGCAAAGAAGATGGGAGGTGCATTCGGAGACCTCTGTACTCCAGATCTGTGCCAATCTATTTAAACCAAGAGCATTCACAGGGCCACCAAGCAGCTTTGGTTCAAGCCCTTAAACTGTATTTATAATAACTTGCTGAGACAAAGCATGACATATTATTGGCTCTTCAATCCTCAATTACACAAGTGTCATGAAATTTTTGTGGAAATCATGATACAGGGCGGGTAGCAAGGGACTGCACAGGCCCTGATCTTGGGACCTCACTAGAACATACACCCAGGGCAAGGATCATGGAAACAGCCCTTTGTTTTCAGTCTAGCTCTACTTCTCGGAGTGCTGGGTTCTATGGGTTTTCAGGAAAAGATGTACACAGAGGCTTTCTGAAGAACAGAATTTTCTGTAGCAGAACAGTTACAGGTTTGGTTTTTTAATCCACATTTTGAGGTGATGGTTCAAGGAAAAAAAGCAGAAACTTTGGTTCTTGTGTAGTACATCAGTTGTCCCATTTTGTGAGTGGAACAGTAAGAAGAAAGGAAAAAGATAAATTGCATCTTCATTTTGTTTAAAGGCACCTGCTAATCTTCTCTTTAAAAAAGGGCATTTTTTGGTATCAATCTGACATGAAGGAACAACTATTTCTAATTAACATCAGAGAGAGAAAAAGAAGTGTAGAGGCATCAGAGTAGGACTGAATCCACTGATGAGACTCTCTCCCGCTTTACCCTCAGCTTCATTTGAGCATCATAAAAGGAGAAACTGTTGGGACTCCTAAATTCAGTTTGGAAAAACTTCTTGATTTATCCAAAGCCATGCACCCTACTTCCCTGCTTCTTACTTTATCTTATAGAGGAATTAGGAGAATAAGCTCAATATCTGTGGAGGGCTTTGAAAGGTGAAAATAATGAAGTGTCACTGTTTCAGGAACTGCTCTCGTATAATGAGATAAAAGTAAAGGTGAACTGAAACAATTTTGAAAATAAATGCCAACTTGTTACAACAAAGAGATTAAGAGGCTAAGAACACACATATGGCCTCAGATGACTCCAACGCTACAATGTTATCTCAAATGCAGGATCAGGCCAGTATTCTGTGGTAACAAGGTAAACAAAAAAATAGGTTATCAGATGTATTCTTATGTCTGCATTTAATTCAGTATTTCATCACTCAAGTGTTACAAAGAACAAGCATCTTTTAGAAGACAGAACTACACCACGAGAGTGTTTATTTTGTAGGCAGAAAAATAATGACAGATGCTTTTCTTACATAGGTACTGAAAGCATTTAACTTTTCAAAATCTGTTTTACATGACAGTTTGTTTTGTGCTGTATATACCAAAATCCAAAGCAGCAAACAGACAGATTTGTCACAATTTTATGTCAAAATATGTCATCTCATTTCAAAAGCAGGATGTCATGATACTTAAAACTCACAGCTTTAAAATAACGAGAAAGGCTTTTTGAGGAGATGCTGCCTGACACACAGTGATGCTAGAACCATAGCAGTATCATGACTACTTCAGTGCAGCAAGATTAATTTGCTGTGTAAACAATTAGAGGCCTCTGTTCACTCCTGGATCTTAGATGAGACATGGTATGTAAGCATGCTACTTTTTTCCTCTTCTTCAAATGTTTGCCCAAAGCATATGCAAGTCTTCAAACCTTGCATATGCAAGCAGACCGCATCACTTTTACTTTTTTTTACATGACCAAGGTCTTATTAACATTTGCCTGCAGATTTAAATACATTTTCAGACTCAAATGGAATGAAGAATAAAATTATGGATATTGATAAAGGAGTCAATAATAGGTGTATTGCAAAGTTAAGGCTCAAGTGAGATCTCTCATTACATGCCAGAACATCAAAAGTAGTTAAGACTTTTTTTACTTCACTTTGACATCTAGAACTGGTTTTGGAGAGCAAGTACCTTCTGACACTAGGACAATGTGCCCTCACTAGGAAGCTATTCAGCAGGCAAGCAAACACCAGAGAATGGCTGGCAGGATGGTTTAACTGCACTGCCAAAAAAAAGCCAAATTACTAATAAATAACATTGTACCACCTCTAGGTTTCCAATACATGCAGGGTCTCCAGTCAGCCAAGAGGCATAGCTTTCCATAACCTCTTCCCCATCAATCAATCAATTTGTGCAAAGCAAATTTAAAAAGCCAAAACCATGGCATATTGTGAACAAATGAAAAATCAGTGCCACAAATATGGAATAAGGTGCACTGAGGATTTAGTGCTCATTACTAGCACAAAGATCAAAGTTAAAGTTAGTACATTTCAGTAGTTCAGTTCTTCCAAACTAAAAAAATGATTCCTGCATAAATTATTTTATATTTCATTTATTCATTATTAGAAGATCAAGCAATCAGAGACCACGTCCAGCAAGCCCACTGGCATAAGGCCATAAGATTTTCTCAGCTATGAGTGCAAAAGAGCTTTTTAAGAAAACCACCTCCTCTTCACTAGAATTTCCACACAAGGACTATGATCTTTGGTCAGGTATTTTGATTGGCTGCTACACATGTGCCATGTTTCTATTCTGCATCTTTACAGCTTCAACTTCCAGCCACTGTTATGCCTTTGTCTGCACTACTATCAAATCTGCATTCCCCATATACATAGTTACAGGCTGTGATAAAAATAAATCCTTTAATCTTCTCCTTCATGTTAAAAATATAAACCCATGGAATTTGATCTTTCATGGCATGGGATGATTTCCAGTCCTTTAATCATTTTCATGGCTCTTTTGAGTCCTCTCAATTTTTCCTGTTGTCTTCTTTGCAGCATGGGTTCAAAACTGGATGCAGTATTCTAGTACAGTCACATGCAGAGTGCATATAATGCCCCTACTCCAATTTTCTATCTCCCTGTTTTTCATCAAAGCAAATAGAAATGAAAAGTGGTTATGTATTTGCATCCAGTTTATCTTGCATTCTCCTTGGCTGCTCATGAGCTAATGTTTCTAGTAATGAATTCTTAATCCAGTAATTAGGGAAACTCTGTAGTTTAGGGCTATCCGTCTTTAGTTATTGTACTTAAATGATTTAATTTATCTTCCTTAATAAGGTCCAGACCTATGGAATTACAAGTTTTTGGACGTACTAACCATAATATTTGATTGTTCTCGTAAGACGTGCCAAGAGAAGCGTTAAGAATATATAAAAGCAGAGGCTATGTCAGAAATAATTAGTCAAGATGGTCAAGGACTTCTAAGATATGTATCATTGGAGCTAATTATGCAGTACTTACACATTCCGTGTGCACTGGATGTACAGCAAACAGCAAAGCTGCTAGAAGAGATGTCTTTGGAGCCAGGTTTAGCCTTCTTCCTTTATTACTGAATTGCAGTCCACCCAATAGAATCGAGAACACATCAACCATCAACACTGAGATAGTACAATGCAGTATTATATTGATGACATGGAAACCAACTGGGTAGAAGCCTCCAGCAAAAAGGTAATTAATTCTATATAAAAACAAAAGCATTAAGGCTAGGAATTACATCAATGGTTTGAGATGTGCAATCAGAAAACCTTAACAACTCCACAGCAAGATCATATTAGATGCACACATACACACACACACAGAGGCTGAAAAATGCCAGCAAACCCCAGCATGCATGGTATTACCACTTAGCCACCACAGTAGGCTAGAAACAATGTCCTGATCTTTACCCGAAGGTATTCATATGGGATACCATATTCAGCATAGTATCTATCCTTTCCAAAGACATATGTTAATGCTATTATGTTAATCATACCAATGGCTACTTAGAACCGGTTTTTGGCCACCAACATTAACTTCAATGTTGCAATGCAGGAGCGTCCTACAGATAAACAACCCAGCTAGTGGGGGGATACCCTTGGGCTTAAGAGAAACTACATTCCCAAACAACCTGATGAAATAATTAAATCCACAGAGTGAGGAAACCAATATGCATTGAGACTATGATTTCCACTGACATTCTAGCTGAAAAACACCCTAGCATTTGGACTGATAATGTGGAAATCATCCGGGTACAATCCAGTATCAATCCAGAAATTAGTCAGTAGCTAATTTGTGAGACTGGTTAGAGAGAGGTTTCCTTCAAATAGTAGAACCATAAGGAACCTTAAGTGAAAATTCAGTCTAAAACCCTATTCAAGATAAGAACTTCATGGTAAAATAGAGAGGGAGAAGAAAGGGAAACATCTTGTTATTTTCTGTATACTTTCATCAGTAGGTGAGATATACAGAAACTCACTTCAAATAGGGAATTTTATATAGTTCATTTGGTCAGCCTGCATCTGGCTTAAGTAAAATCTATTTAAAAAGTCTAACCTATTATAAATGTGATACACATAGAAGTTGGAGCTTAGGGAAATTGAGAAAACCGATTTCTTACTTGTGAAAATAGCATTTTATGAACCATCTCCACAAGCTCATCTATATTTTCTGATATAGTAATGACTGTATCCCAGTTTGCTCTTTAAACTAACCAGGATGTTACTAGAGATGGAATATACCACTGAGACCCTGAAAAGAAAGGAAAGCATGTGCTGTGTAATGCACTGAAAGCTTTAATAGATTTAAGACTCTGACACATTCTATTCAGTTGCATAATTTCCTTGACGAAAATGTCAAGAAACCCCAACAGACAGTGAAACCCACAGTGCTAAGTACTTAAAACACTGACACTGCACTCAAGAGTCAAAGTTTTTGCTTGACTATGAGGACTAAGAGCAGGAATACTTCTGCAATCACTTAGTCCCTGGCTTAGACTGTACACAACTGTAGAACCAGTGCCAGATCCCCATCCACAACACTGAGTTGCATGGGGAAAACAAAGAAGCTTAAGACCGAGTCCTCAAAGATTCTCTGCATTACCAAGCCCAATTTCTACATGGACTGTTGCTTGCTCAAATCTTTGGGCAAAAACTGAGCTAAGCACCTGGAGAAGTAATCCTCATAAACCTTTAGTTATCTGAGAAAACCAGCAAGTTATATATACAGGCAGACATCCGTCTCACTGGATTCTCACACACTCACTCACTTGAAGTTAGAATATCAGGGGGGAAGAGGTGGAAAGACCATTCAGTGACCTAGTGGCAAAAGGCCACAGTAGACTGATGCTATTATTTAAAAAAAATCATTTGACAGGTCACAAGGAAAGCAGAGAACAGAAACTACAATAGCAGTATAAGTGGCAGCATGGCTAAGTGAAGGGAACATACACCTCCTAGTTCTTTGATGATGTGACCTACATACTGAACCACACTGCCCCTAGTACCAAGGTATATTAAAGCATTGAAAGGTACAGAGCATATAAAGGTACAGTGAAATACAGAATGCCAAAATAATGTATACTTTGGGAAAGAGACAATTTGAAAATTAAAAATCAGTTTGAGATTAAGGTGGTGAACAGGAAAATCAATTCAGGAAAGGTATCTAGCTACCCTCTAGATGCTTTGTCTCTCTGTTTTTCTGTTACCTCCTCCCTATAATCAATTTTTAACAATATACGTTAAAAAAAAAAATAAAAATCAGACTTCGAGCAAAAAGACAAGTCTCACATCTCACCTGAAAGTTAGGACAGTTAGTGGTCGATACGACTTATGACTGGTATTGCTGCTGAGTTTGCTACCCCAAAAGTCATGATGCCACAGGTCACCAAGTGGGGTTTCTGCCCTGAGGTCCTGAAAGGAAATACCATAAATTACCAAATTCTTAACATTTCTGTTTCGTTCAAAGCAGCTAAAACACAGACAAGTTCTAACTAATACAATATCATGCTAACATGGACACAGCAGGTGCTTTGTTGGCTCACTACTGACATTTGACAAAGTACCCAAGTTGGCGATGAAGGTCACATCTTGGATGCCTGTCATCATAAAGGCTGAGATGCTTGGATTCTGTAAGTAGGCACAACTACATGAAATTTAGTAGAATTATGAGTATTCATATCAGTTGATAATCTGGTCAATAGCTGAGATATGAAACACGAAAAGAACCCTTTACCTTACAGTTTTGTAAGAAGCCTTTGATTTTAGGTCTAGGTTATCTTGCAGAGGTGGCCAACTACAGACTGCTGCAAATAGCTATTTTTCTACCAGTGTCAGTAGCACAACTACTAATCAAAACATGAAAGCAAGGACACTAAAGATATAAAACAACAACTAGCCCTTTTTGAAGCCTTACTTTGCACAGGACACTATTCAAATTTCAAATAGCTTCTTTCTTTTTTCTTTTTTTTTTTTAAATTCCTAATACATGAAACCAAGAATAAAAATCTCTATATACTGCTCTAAAAGATTAATAGCGGAAAACAGAAAAGTAATGAATTATTTTAATTTGGGGCGGAGTAGGGGACTATTAAAAAAACACTACAAAGGAAGAGTCTACTCTTTCCTTTTATCTTAGAGTCATGCTGAAAATGAAAAAGATCCAAATTATGTAGGCCATTGAATGGAAAACACACACTTTGCAGAGGAAAAAACAAGGACCTTGGTAGCATCTGCCTCAGTTTTCTGTGAGGACAAGCTGGGAAGCTCAAACTAACATACTAATCTTCTACTTGTTCCTCTTCTCGTGCTTCACTGGGGTAATTAAATACCAATTGAAGCTATAGCAAACATTCAGGTTAAACACACTTAAAACAGGACTTCAGAACAAAATTGTACTAGCAAATTAATAGCTTTTGTATAAGTGCTGGTATTACACCTGCAATCAACCACAAGTTACTCTACCCCATCTTCTCCCCTGAAATTGTTGAAGAGACCAGCAAACCAAAGCAGATTAACAAGCTAATACAAACACAAGCAAGCAGACAAACCAGTTTGCTAAACCCATGAAATGTCTTACAAAGCCTGGTGTCCTATGTCTTATTCCTCCTACATCTTCATCTGCTTACAGGATTCCCATTTTACAATACCCTTGGTTCACTAATGCCAGTTTCTCTCAAATGCTGCTACAATCTCACTTGTTTCTACAGTATCTTGACCACCTCCTGTGGTCTCCAGTACCTTCGATCTCATCCTTAGCTAGCATTTGTGGCCTAACAACAAGGCAAGAGAGAACACATACCATTGCTAGTCCCAAACCAAATGTCTGGCCCACACTGACTGGCTGCTGCTAAACTGAACTGAAAATAACTCAATCTTTCTTGCTTCTCTCCTAACACATTCTGACCTTTATCCATCCAAAAATAATAATTAAAAAAATCCAGGAAGAGATTTATATCTATCACTTGATCAAATTTGTCCAGAATTAGACTACCGGTTAAAAAAACATAAATTAGGCTAAAAATCCTAGCACACTGTCAAATGAAGTGAAGCATTCTCTATTAGGTTAGTAATCAATACACAGAAAAGAGAGCAGGGCTAACACTGTAGTCTTTGAAAAGTCCTATATTGCAGCTGTGAATTAAAGCATTCTCAGGGAAAATCTTAAGAAATCAAGACTCACAGAGGATCTTATTTGGCTTAAGAATCATCAAGGTGCAAAGTTTCTTCACTCTCTCACAGATGTTTCTACTGCCAAACAATGGCTACAAACTTCTTTCTTCTCCCAAGACTGCAATTTTGGCCTTAGGCACCTAAATTCCTGTTCCATTTGTCACCAGTATGCACAAACCCTGAAGGTCATAATTTGACTCTCAGAGTGGGATTGCACTCTGGTAGTAGTAGTCACTAAATCAATCAGTATGGCCTGCTTTTCCAGGGGCAAGATGGGACTAGATTGTACACCAATATAGATTGAAGTCTTTGTACTCTGCAGGAGACAGCTGTACTGGGCATTGTGGCCCTCAGACTGTTTTTCCAACCAACTGCACTGCTCCTTATGTACATTTGCCAAAGAAAGGGACAATAAAAGAGAGACTTTTTTTTTAGTATTAAAATTTTACAAGTATGTCTTCTATGTCACAGATGGTCTTCGATAACTTGAGATGGGAAATATATTTGAGATGTGCAAGGCTAGATTTCCCTTTCATCTAGAATCAGTCTTCTTTTGTCTTCCACAGGAAGAATGCAGGAAAAGCTGAATACATGGAATTACTTAGTGATTAGATTACACTTCCATATGACCTAGAAATCTTTAGTCATGTATCTTGCTCTTGTATCCAAGTTCTGTGAGAGAAAGTTACTTACATTAATTTTCCCACTCAGTGGACTTAAACTAAAATAGGAATGGTTTGTTCTAAGAGACACAGCTGTTTAAAAGTTATCTATGATTTTTTCTACAAGAAATGAAAGCAGATATCAAAGAATCTCTAAATATTTGATTAGCAGCAGCTTACAGAAGCAGAGTTCAATACTTGAAGAAAGGTCAGCTTTTCTATAAAAAGGCTTATGAAAATGACACAGTGTGTCTGAAGCTCCTCCTAATCCAACTGTTTGTCTTGCCAAGCTAGTAAATAAATAAAGAAAAAAGTCATTGCTGTGCATCAGTTAAAACTCTGCTTAAAATGACAAGAAAGCATCTGGAAAACAGTCTTGAACCCCAGTAAAATCTAATAACAGAATGTTCCAGATATGGTAGTTATGGGGTCAACTAACAGTGTACCTTTCACTAAAAAGAATAATTGAAAGATTGGGGTGGTGCTGGGAGCTAGTAAATTAACAAAAAGGTCACTGTGTGGTACCCAAGAAAATACTGGTATAATAATGCTCAATAAATCTACAAAATTACTTCGCCAGCTGTCTCTCCTGTTGAATAGTAATAAAGTATGCTATACCTTGTTTAATAAACTGTGCCTTTGCTAGATGGTCTCCCTCCCCATTAAACTGGCAAATTGATTATCTCTGTATTTTTCTTGTGGATTTTGTATTTCCATATATTCATTTGACCCCTGTGTTAAAATGATACTGTCACAAAAATCTCATTTGATTTCTAGAGAATAATTGAGGATTTTGATGTGAGAAATAGAATAAGCCTCACAGTTTTTCAAACATGCAGACAAGGTATGAATTAATCTATTTAAGCAGTTGGTTGAATTTCTCAGCATTGCCTATGGCTATAATCCTGGTGCAGGTTGTTGTGTTGCATAGATAAATTGAAACATTTTGAAAGTAAAAACTGAAAGACCTGGAGAAAGATTACAAGCATGGAAATTGCACATGAACAAAACAACCTGCCTTGTTCCAACATCAGTCTTTTGTTTGTTCTGTCAGGAAATTAAAATATTATAATTGTGACCCAAATAAAACTTTGCAGAATGAAACATTGCCAGGAGCTGTGTAATTTAAAATATGTTTCTTAAAAAAAAAAAAAAAATAAAAAAAAATCACGATAGGTTCTTAATTTGTCTATAGTATTCTTTTAGAAGCTTTGAGATTTATTTCCAGTTTGGCAGATTTATTTTTCCCCCATATATTTATAACTCAAGGTATGATGACTTACAAAAGCATAATCTAAATTTGTCTAAGGAAACAGAAATTCTATGGCATTCTAAAAGGCACATTGTGGTAAGATGCCCCTTAATCTTTTGATCTTTTGCAAGGCAAAACCCCATGAACTGTGTTCTTCTAGCGGTATCGGTGTCCAGACTGTCCTTCCTGTATCCCCATGGCTTCAGAAAAACAGAACCAACAGACGAGGGTGATTCTTCTTACCCTGTGCTTCTCCTTCCAAACATTTAACAAGCACCTTCCAGAACAGAACAAGAAGTTTAAGACCAAGAACCCCCATGAGCACAGGCTCACTAACTGCTACGTGTGATTCTATGAAGTGTCTCAGCAATCAAAAACATTCAGTTCCTCAAAGTCAAAAGAATCTCAGCTAGAGTTTTGTTCAAGTCACAGTTAATTTCTAAGTATTTCAAGGATTGTTCATTGTGCATATGATCAGCTTTAAAATAGAGCACAAGAATACTCTGCCTCTATTTAAAAAAAATACTGCTGTCACAGGAACTTGAAGTGGGGAAGGAGCACAGGAAAAGGAAGCTTTCCTGATCCTGTAACATTTTTATGGTATAAGCCGCAGCTGGAGAATCTCTGGGCCCTACCATCGCTTAGTGATGCATTATGTATCTTGCAACCAGAGTAAGTTTATTCACTGGGCTTATTCATCTGTCACCCTGAGAAGATAATGAAAAAATCTCCTATTAACATCAATGGGTATTAGAAAAGTCTATCACATACTCTCACTGACTTAGAAATTAGCATAAAATTAGATCTATAGACAGTCTTGATGTACAGATACCCTGTGAATAAGCACTACTAAACATCGCATCCAAAGTAGATAATGCTTTCTCAGATGACAAGCAGACAAAGTCCATTTGCTATGGCAAAAAAAGAGATCCGTTCCCCTTGACCAGGTATTGACACTTGTTAAGCAGAGCATCTCACTTGCAAAAGAATGAAAGGATACACATTCTGAGGAAAAAAAAAAAAAAAAAAGCTGCTTAATTTGTTCAGTCTTTTGTTTATGCATTAGAAACCAAGTCATGTTATTCAAGTAGCTTTAGGAATAAGATTTTATTAAGCATACTTATGCTTCTAGCTTTCCGGTACAGCAGTGCTACACAGCTTGTTTTTCAACCTTAAATAAAGATTACATTAAAAAAACCCCTCAATAATACAAAACAGAAAAGTGGTGTTCAAAAAAAGGAATATCAGAAGGAAGCTCTTCACTACAATAAATATTTTGGGCCTACTTAGATCAACCGTTGTCATTATTTCTTTTCCTACTTCCATTTATGTCAAAGGGTGCAGGGGGGAAGAGCAACAAACCTTATTATTGATGATGGCTTCAGAATCATCGAAGACAAAATCTCCATCATAGCTATTAGCAAAACAGAGGAAGGAAATTAATGCCACGACCATTTTAGCCCAGTATGACGGAAGGAGGAACCATGATACGTCATGGTCCAGATTAGGTTCTGTTTGTGCCATTCTGTGAAATACTTGTTCCAAGTTTGGAGCTTCAGCATTATGTTGGTTGCAAATCTGAAAGAAACATATACAAACGCAGAATTATAGTTGCATTTCACTAAAAAAAAAAAAAAGAATTTAAAAATGAAGAGTTGGATTGAGAGAGGAAAATTAAGTTTCATACAACCTAACATTTTTCTCTTGGTGCATTTCATAATTACAGGAACATATCTAAACATCATTTTCTGCTTCAAATGTGGAAGAAAGGCATGGTTTCTCATGGTTGGAGCACAGAGATAAAGCCAAGAAATTCTTAGATTCTCAGCTACAATCTTTGGCACAGGTAAATTCTAAAAGCTTGAGCAAATCACTGTTTCTTACCATTCTTTTCAAGTATAACAAGCAGGGGCATCACAGGGACCATGGAGCATTCATTCATCAAGTTCTCAAGAGAATGATAAGGGCTAGAATATCCTTCTGGGTGTGAAAGACAACATCAACAATTGCAAGAAGAGCTCAACTCTCTTCTGTTAATTGAATTAAAGGATCTAGTCTTACATGTAGTCTACTTAGGGAACACATACAAACATCACAGGTAGACAGATACAGTTAATCGAGTAGGCCCTAAATCTCAGCAATTCAAACAATGCAACAAGATGCATACAATTAAGGCCAAAGTAGTGCTCACTAGATCACTCTGCACACCACAAGTACAGTATAGGCCAGATTCCACTGCTGTATTCATGGATTTCTGAGGTTGCTGATGTAGATGCAAAAGAACATGCAATTCTACAGCACTGAGCGATACACCAGTGTGGAGGTACAAAGGCTGGAGGTTTATGCATGAGCCACCTTCACTTGGAAGGATCTCTCCTGATGCTCCAAAACCAGCCCTCTGCCAGGACAGCAATTCTGCCTCTGCATCTCTGGTGCTCTGACAGCATTGTGAGTGGTCGTCTTACCAAGTGCTGCTATAAATGGCAGGGGGAGGAGGTTACAAATGGAAAACTACAGTAAAAGCAGGGCAGAATACAAAGTTTTTATTTCTAAGTCCCAAGAATGAGAGGCACATAGAGTAGCCCAGCTTTACCCTTTCATCTTATTTATTGGCTTTTTAAATCAACTGTTACAACCCTAAAAATATGGTATTTAATGTCCTCATACAATCTAGGAAAAAGCTCTAGTCATTTAGCTTCTTGAACAGACTTGGCCATCAGAGCTGCTAAGGCAATTGCTGTGAGGCTTTCTGTTTGCAACGCTAAATTCCAGTCTCCGCGTATTCCCAATCTCTGTAGACACACACACACCCAGGAGGTACTCCCTCTCACACCAGGGGGTGTCCCTTCTTCGCTTTGGGGACTATACAGTATAGCAGCGCTCCCAAATTCGGATAGAGCAGTGCAACCTGAGAGAGAATGGAGCTCCTCAGCAGAGCAAAGCAGACCAGCCACTTTAAAGAGCAAAACCTTTTCTCAAAGTAATTCACCCTTGTGCTCTTACTTCGACGAAAACAAAAGACTACAAGCAAGACTGTTAATCCGAGGGAAGTGCATGGCATAGCTCGCAACAGCCCAGAGACACAGCATCGATGTCCAGCATCGAATCCAAATATTTAATCTCCTCAAAATTCATTTTGCCCTGAAAGTTCCTCCTACTGCGTTTGTTCTATTTATCTGCTGTACGTCTGCTGCCAGCCCCCTCCCCGCGGTCCACACCGGTCCCTGGGGGGGCTGCCTTACCCGGACAACTCCTTCACCGACCAGGAGGGCTGAGCACCCACGAGGTATCGCGACCCCCCTCACACCTCCCCTCGGGGAAAGGCGAGCCCGAGCCCACCCCGGCCCGGCCGGGCGGAGCGCATCGCTCCCCCGCGGACCCTCACGCCCACTGGGAAGGGGAGTCAGGGCTCCGTCGCCCCGTGTCCCGGCCAGAGAGAGACGGCGCCGCGTGGAGCCCCGCACCCAACGGTCACAACGGCCGCCCGGCGGACTCCCGCAAACTTGAAGGCCGTCCCAAGCGCCCGGCGGGGCGGTCCCAGGGAAGGAGCCCGCCCGGGGAAGGCAGCGCGGGCCGGGCAGGGGCGAGGCTGCGGGGCGGGCGGGCGGGAGAGCCCCGCCAGGAGTTTCGCGGCGGCCCTGCCCCACTCACCGCTTCCCTTTTGTCCTGGCGGCGGCGGCGGCCCCACCGACGGGAGGTGGTGGGTGTCCCATTCCGTTCCGCCTCGGCCCTCAGTCCCC